ACCCGCCCCCCCCTCTCCGCCGCACCGCGCCAGCCCCTCCCTCCTCTCCCAGCCTTCCCCTTCTCTCCTGCGTCGAGAAAGGCGCCCTTCTCTGGTCCGCGGATAGGGACATGCAGGGTAAGGAAGGGCCTTAGTTGGCGATTGGGGGTTGGGTCGGACGAAATTGCACCGAAAGTCACGTGGTGTCAAGTTAGTGCGTTTCATCGTTGCCGCCTGACCTCACGCAAAGGAAGGAAATCCAGTAGTATCCAACTTGGGGACTGCCCTCGGCGAGCCACGGTCTCGCCACATAGGTCAGTAAGCATACCTTTAAATTTAAAAAAAATAATCTTTATTTTCACATGAAGTGGGAAAATGGGGAATACAACAAATGGAATAATTTTGGTTTCTTTTAATTTAAATTTAATGACTCATAAAATGGTTTACAACAGTTTAAAATAATATGAAAAGCAACTCTAAACAATTTCTAGATTCTCTTCTTCACAGTTCATGATCTTTTCATCACAGATGTGTTTGTTTTTTTGTTTTTTTGTGTGTGTTTTCGATATTTTTACAGCTAACCACGGAGACTCAGCTAGTGTGGTCTATAATGGTCTGGCGGATCTAAGACGCTTTTCATAAAGCATAGAATTTTAGAGACAAGTTAGTGACAGAGATACCCTGTCTGCAATAATCAATCAAAACACCCAAATTTGATTGTACTTTGATGAATTTACGGTAAATTGACGTCATTTTGATTGATCATTGCAGATTGAGATATGTCTGAAAATATAACGATAATAGATGATGTTTATGCTAGATAATTGATTAATATGTGAAACAAATTGCTAAAGCAAATTTTCTCTTCATAAATCATAACTCACATTTTCACTTCTTCACTTTTTTTTTCACTTACTGTACTTACATTCTGCAAGGCATAGAAGTACACATATAATAAATGATAAATTCAATAATAAGATAACTCAAATATTTCAAACTATCAGGATGTTAATACATTCATAATACACTAGTGCTAACTCTAGCAGTCTTGTAGTTTATTTCATGGCTTGGTACTAGCATTATTTTTTCCTCTTCTTAGCATTATATACATTCAAAGGAAAGGTCTACAAATCACCGGTGTGTAAATATACTCTGGATTTATGGTAGCTATACAGGGTTAATAAAATGATGCTTCTTTTATAAGGATGACATGCAAATAGGAAATGATAGTTTTCACTGAGCAACACACAAAATTGTAAAAGTAGAAAAAGGAATTGCAGTTTTAAAATTTATCAAACACAATTTTTCCAAGTCAAGCCGCCACAGGACATTGACACGATGAAATAAATGATTACCTGTAAAGATTTAGACTGAGTAAGAATCTGCTGTCGTAGGCAATGTCTGATACTTGATTTAGTGAGTGCACTTACCAAGGCCACAACTCCGACAATCACATAAAGTTTTACATTTTTCCAAAACATGACTCTGGCTAGATTTCGACTTGTCTTTCTAAAGGTCACAGACTGATAAAAAAATCAAAGGCAAAAATCAATGAACATTTAAGAACTTTTAACAATCTACTTCACAAAGTGTCACGATCTGACAATACTTACGTTCTGACTCAAATCTTCAGTTTTCTTCACCAAAAGCTCTAAACGTTCACCTCTTCCAGCTATGTTATCTACAGTTTTAAAAGAAAACTTTCTAAATATTTAATTTGTTTTAAAAAATAGATTGGACAGTGAAAACAGACAAACTGCGCTTGACATCAGAAAAATCAGAACTTACCAATATTCTTAACCATTATACTTTTCACCTCTTCTAACTCTCCATGAACTCTTGAAATAGTGTCAACTTCACGAGACTCAGAAAAGTGTTTCTGAAAAATTCAAATCAAATAAATCAACCAGAACATGAATAGAATAGATAGAATTGACAATGAAATGAGCAGATGGTAAAGTAAGATTGTGTACCATTTCACTGGCCATGGTTTGAGAAAATTCGTTATTCATAGAATAAGCAATTGCTGTGTCAGCTCGGGAACCGTAGGCCGTTTGAAAGCGACGCTTCACTTCATTTAAGTAAAGAAATGCTCTTGATCTCTCAAATTCCTGAATGAAGACAAAAAATCAAACTGAAATATGGAAGCAAATAAGCATAACTCAAAATTCCACAAAATGTGAATGAAACTTACATCATCGGTGATGCACATATAGATGATACGATTTTCACAAATATAGTGGAACAAATAACTTCCGTGAGAGTATGTCATCTTGGAATTTTCAGGAGGGATCTTCGCCATGATTATCTCTGTCACCTCTGCAAAGTTTCCCGCACAAGCTGCATATTTAGCAAGTACTGTTGTGCCACGGGCAATGACACTGTACAGAATAGGCATGGTGCTCGAATTTCAAGATCTGGAATTAAGGGTGAAAGAAAAGGATATCAGCCGAGACGCTATCAACCAGGGTTAAAAAGGCATTATTGACAAAGTGACAAGTTCCAGGTGGACAAAGAACTACTGTACTATACAGGCTGTCACATGACCTGATTTGAAATGACATTTGACTCAGGTTTTTTACCGAAACAAACCGAACGCTATCAATTATGCAGCTCAAATAATTATTCAACAAACAAACGTCAAAGACTTAAACGGATTTGCTGTCCAAGAGATATTATGTAATCAAAGGTCTCCTCCCCCTGAAGGAACATTGAACAGAAATGACGCATCACACTTGTAAACACGCTGAATACACTCTACATGAATGTCCATCGAGGCCAAATACACAGGCTCTATCACTATACGGCAATTTAACGAAAATATCAATGCTCATATCACTTTAACTCACCTTAATATTAAAGTCCAAGTTTAACAGCGCGATTGACAAAAATACCGACCAACGACAAGCAATACGACAAGGGTACATAACAACAATAAGGATATTCGCAGAACGGAGAGGGAAGGAGATATTAGTCAAGTGTAGAAAGAAACGCGTCAGGTCAAATCAAGAAAAATCATTGCGTTGCATTTAAAAAAACTTCGGTATAATTAGAATACAGCTTATTGTAAACAAAAGTGGATTTGTTAGCTTTCTCACATTATGCTTTTTATCAAAGAATCACAAAATTGTTTTTGTGACTTGAGTAGTGAAGGTTTACCTTCCCTTCAAAACGGTTATTTTCAGCCATCTCCGTTTTTCATGTTTGTTATTATCGGAGCTTCTGCTATTTCTGCTATTTATTCCTAATAGATGTTGATAAAATGACAAGAACTACCTCTGGTTTTAAATCTAACACCTCTAAAGAAAATTTATCACATCTTCTTTCTACTGTTAATGCAGAAGTTTTAAAAGAAGTGTGTATTTAGTTTAGACTAATTTTGTTGGTTATGCAAACATCTGTCACTTTAAATCGTATCTTGTGTTTCTGCAGTTTGTTCATCGTTGCATTGACAAGATATGTGGGAGGAAGGGACCCTCAGAAGAAAAGTTTTGCGCCTCCTGTGGATGGAATCATAGTCAGTTTCTTGAAGCGAATTCCGCACTGGAAGAATTCCTAGTTGAATGTGTGGAACAAGATTACAATAGGAAAAAGATAGAGGAATTTGTATCTTTAGAAGACAATCAACTCCAAGCCTTTCTGAATTGTTTGGTTGTTCGTAAAGATGAACTTCAAATATCTCTTTTAAGGCAGTATCAGAACAGACCGTCACAAGTTTTAAGTGACTTTGACTGGAAACTGAAGGTAAGATATCCTTAATTTTAGATTTATTGACCTCTCTTACTGGTGTCTTATTATTGCCCTCTTTTTTATAGTGGGTGATGGGAAGCAGTTCTCTCGCTTCTTATCAAGAAACACTGCTCGAGTTGGATATGACTGCTGTTCAACACCCCAAAGTGCCCATCACCTCAAAATCTCCCTATGAAAGGATTTCAGTGGAACTTACTCGTGATGATCTGTCAACTCTCATAAATACTCTAGAAAAGGCCCAAGAGTGTATGTAATTATATAATACAAGTTTTTGTCTGTTTGAAAAAACTACTTCTATATTCTTTTTTACAATGTACAGTACATCCTTTTTGACGGGTAAAGAACAGATAAATCAATCAAAACAAAACTCTATTAAGTTTGTACAATATAATACAATGATGCCTAACTGCACTGCACTTAAGAAACTCATTAGTTTTATTCATAGTTTAAGTCAAGAAGCAAGTACAAGGAATGCATGGAAAGATAATTTACATTGGAATAGACAGACAGTTCATAATTCACAGTCAGAAAAATAAACCTTATCAGAAGGGCTCATGAATCACAGGCTGCAAACATTTCTTAAAGACAAACCGTGCGAGATCTTTAAAGTCTTAAAGTTAATAAATTAAAAGACGGAAATACAGGATTGTTATTGCAATCTACAATGATGGCATGTTTTGTAGCAGACGAAACAAATCATCCACCAGCAAATTGCAAATCCTGACCGTTACACATTTAAATTCATAACGCAGTATGGGAAATCACAAGCCAAGAAACAACAAAGTAAAATAAGAATATAGGATACATGGCGAGTCCTTTCCTTCCAACTGGTTGACTGTCACCCAAAAAAACGGTGGAAGCTGTAAAAAGATTAACAAAAAAGAATGAGAGAATGTTTTAAGTTTCTTTCAAAAGTAGTATGTTGTACACTACTAAATTTTTAAAGGTTACTATTTTACTTACCATAAGTTGCCCATCCAAAACCACTCACGGTAACCAAAAATCTAATGAAGAAGAGTACTTTAGATTGAGGATAGAGTAAGATTAATCTGCATACAATAAGTGCCAAGGTTGTGGGAAGAAGGCAGTATCCAAGTACGCACACACTCTGAAAGAAAGAACTGGAACAGAAATAAAAAGTTAAAAAATCATATTCAGGTATCAAAACACATTTTTATTACATGTCATGTCCAAATTTTTAGAAAGTCTTACATGTTTCCTCCTAGTAGCTTTGAATTCATTGTGACTACCATTGACCCTATCCACACTATGACAAACACCTCAGCAAATTCAGGGCCACCATCATTTGAGTTAGCTTTGTCAGCAGAGCCCTGTAGCACCCTGGAAAATCCGGTACAAAAGTTCACACTGCTTAGTAATGAAATCACACAAATTCTTGATTAGTTATCATGGACCTCACTTACATTGCCATGAAGGTGCAAAGAACTAAGGGTCCCCAAAGGTCCCCTGAAATACATAATTTTGATTATTATACAGAAAATACCACCAAAAAAATTATTACACAATGGTACAATATAAAGGAACTCACATTCTTTCAATAAACTTTTTTTCTCTTTGGGAATTAATACATGATAAAATTTTGTTCCAACAGCTTTAAGATCTCGAAGCTACAGAGAGAGACAAATTTTAAGTTAATGGTTAAATGGTTAAACAAATGTATGCAATTTCTGAAATCAGGACATGTAGTTTACCACTGTTTCTCTTATAGGTTCATCCAGGGTATCGAAATCAGGTTCTCCTAAAGTTTTGCTTCTACTTATTCCTGGTATTGACATTTCACCCTCAACTCCATAGTCATCGTAGACCTGCAAAGAAATTAACAGTGGATGGTGCTCAAGCTGTATTAATTCAAAACAAACTGCAAAGAGAAAATCAATGAGAGACTATAATTGTTGAAATGATTAATATGTGTGCAAACAGTAGGACTGCTTCTAAAAGTCTTAGGGTAAGATTGAGAGAGGTTAGAATAATGAATTGAATCATGAAGCATGTCGTGATTGTCGTGGGAACCAAAATAAAGAATAAAATCGAAAACCAACGAACCTCCACTCGGGCGTCTGCATTTTCGTTCATGATTGTTGTTGCTGGCTAACTGACGTTTCACTGGTTTCACGTCAGTCGATCATTCCACGCACTCAAAGCAGAGCAGGTGCTGCGATTATTCGCACAGCACAGCCACCGCATAGGCCTGCCCGCCTATGTTTGAATCGTCACTATGAGGCGGTGCTCGGTCTGCCCCAAGTCTGCACATACTGGATTGGGCTGGGAAATACCCAAATGACTCTTGATAAGACATTCACAGTTCTCCCAATGATCTCCTAGAATGTGCTGGTAACTATTGATTTGTGGGTGGGAGCGTGTGAAGGTTGGATAATCCAGGCTTATAAAGCAGCCAAATTCTTCCCAAGAAATTATCAGTGTGGAGCATGGGTGACAACGCCAGTATTGTTTTGAAACTGGGATTACATCGCGTCTCCAGCTCAAATTGAACATATGTGTGTGTTCTTTCCCCCTTTTTGGAAATAAATAAACTAGCTCTAGTCTGGGACTATAATGGTCGAGCAAGTCCTATTTAATTTATTTTAAAATTCTGGTCA